ATTTTTATTTGAGAAGCTCTTACATTTTTTATTACACTGATAGACTATTTGGCTCAATCCTTCAAACCCCACTGCCCTAAGGAACCACCTTGCAGAAGAAAGTTTGTGCCTTTAAGAATGAAGATGTGCACTGTAAAATCATGGATGGGAATGTTCTTATAAGGGATATGAACGTTTATTGCTGGGAAGCTAAGGGAATCCAGCAGGCCTAATTAGTCCTGAAAGGGTGGGGCTATGAAGAAATGAAAGATGCAAGAGAACAGATAAAAGTGAAGAGAAAGAGAGAGCAGTCAGGGAAGGCCAGATGGTTCTGTTCAAGAGTCAAGCACTGCAAATCTCAGATTGCCAGAAAAAGCAGTCAGTGATGATTGGCAGCTGGTCAGAAAGCAGCACAGTGTTCTATGCATCACTGCAAGGCAGCACCTAGGAGAGTGCCTGTCACATAGGAGGCCTTCAATGAGCATTTGTTGAGTGAAAGAATGAATGAATGAATGAATGAATGAATGAATGAATGAACTAATCATGGTAACAGTACAAGATTCTAAGAGTGGCTTCTAGCCCTGGCTTCAACAATGCTCACTGTGTAATCTTCAGTAAATCATATTTTTTAATTTTTTAATTAAAACATAATTGATTGTACATATCCGTGGGGTACAGCATTGAATATCAATACCTATGTATATTATGTGATGCTCAAATCAGGAAAATTAGTATGGCAACTTTGTACAATGTAATCTTTTTTTCGTGGCCATTCACCATTTTCTCTCTAACTCGCCCTCCCCCTTCCCCTCCTCTGGTAGCCTCAGTTCTGTTCTCTCGTTTTAGAAGTTCAACAAATTATTGTGATTGTTGTTTCTTTTTTTCTTTCTTTCTTTCTCTCTTTGTTTATTCTTTAGCTCCCACTTATGAGTGAGGACATGTGATATTTCTTTTTCTGTGCCTGGCTTATTTCACTTTACATAATTTTCTCTAAGTTCACCCGCGTTGCTGAGAATGGCAGAATTTCATTCTTCCTTATGGCAGAGTAGTATGCCATTGTGCATGCATACCACATTTTCCTTATCCAGTCATCTATCAATGGATTTTAGGTTGGTTCTGACTCTTGACTATGCAAATAGAGCTGCCAAAACATGAGAATACAGGTCTCCATCCAACATGATTATTTCCATT